AGAGCCCAGGGTCCTGCTCAGGGCATGGTCATGCCGAATTCAGATGAATTTTCTCAGGGGGGTCTTGGAAACTCCAAATATAAAAATTTCCCAGCTTCTATGACTAACACATTCCAGYGCTTAATTATCTTTATAGCATAAAAATACTATCCTTACATCCAGTCAGAACCTTACCTGTTTCAAGTAATCAGCACTGTCTCTGGCTCCAGATTGTCAGTAAGCTCCGMTTAAGTGTAGGAAGCTGTTGTTAATGTGGCCATCTGTCCCTCTCTCCAACTTTTGCTTTCCCAGGCTGAGCAATAGTGTACATGATTATAGAAATCTTATTAGTTGTTCATGTGTTAAATTGTTCTGAGGTCATTAAACATGCTCCTTCTTCTGTTGYAGGGAGAGTAATGCCTGTGACATCAATCCAGTACACTTCTTGTTTGCWATGGGGACAGCTGAGGTAAATGTTTGCATTCCTTTTATGAAAGTGCAGTAGTGTTTGTTTTGTTTTTTTTATTAAATTGCAGGAGGATTAGAAATCATGAACCTAATTAATTAAATTGGTTTCATTTGCTATATAAGATATGTTAAAGATGACTTTTTGAGCATAGTGCAGGTAAAATACCTGAGTTACTTGGTTGCCGAATGCTTGTCATTTTGCAGATGGGGAGAAAATGTTATCTTGTTTTGCAGTGTAGCCATCTGTASAAATTAGCTGGCATGTGTATGCTATTAATCTTAAAACAATTAGTGTTAGTGATTTTGATCACATTTAAAAAAACTAGAAATTAAGCATGTGCAGCCTGTATGTCATTATTAGAACAACTCATGTCAACCTAGGAAGTTTTGTTAATTATTAATTAGATCAGATAATTCATAGTTTTATTTAAACATTTTCAGAATACCAGGCATCTGTTGCATAATCTTGAACCATATTTTCTAAACTGTTTAGGGTAAAGTGGAATGCTGGGATCCTAGAACTAGGAATCGAGTTGGGCTGTTGGACTGTGCTTTAAGCAGTGTGACAGCAGACACAGAGTGAGTAAAGGCTACCTTTTCAAAGTRTGTTGTACTGGATTTTTCATAAGTTTTGCTTTTAGAAATAAATCCCACTTTGCTTCAAAATGATCTGCTGATTCTCTTCTCTTGCCATTGTTGGTCTGAATAAAGGATTTTCTTAGTAATGAAAGAGTTCTCTTAGGCATTGATCTGAGTGGTAATGACTATTTTTCTATGCAAATACAGRCTGTGAATGTAAACACTGCAGCTTTTTGGAATAGTATTTCTGAGTGCTACCTGTAAATTATTTCACAATAATTAACTTAGCTATTTTTAACATTAAAAAAAAWTATTGGCAGGCTTTCTTTAAAGCCTAACTGTAAGTATTGTGCTTTGCAGGATAGAAGGTTTACCATCCATTTCAGCACTGAAATTTGATGGGGCTTTGAATATGGCTGTTGGAACATCTACTGGGCAGGTAGGTTTGACTTCATCTACCACTGTTCTTAGGAGATCCTATTCTTGCAATTCCCAGTCCAAGTCTATCACGCATTGAGTACAGTATATATGTATTACGGCAAATATTTATGAGATTATAAATTACATATATAAAGTAGTAATAGTCAAACTACATTTTAATTTTGTCAAATGCTCTTCAGAATTCTGTAGGTACCACTTAAAATCATCATAACCTACATACTATATAACTTCAAATTTGCAGTTTTTTCCCTTATAATGGTGACTAAAGAAACAGAAATTACTGTCTTTCAACTGTTTTTGCTGTCTTGATATGAAGAATCATTTCAACTCATTKATTGTTGCYATCATATGTGTAAAGTGRAGTATGGGGATTTTCTCCTGCCTTYATAAGTATTTTCATGGGTTTAGAAAACTGTAGCTTGTCTAAGAGCAGATATGTGTGTAAGAATTTTATTTGCTATGTTARTGTCAGGCAAATTTTATTGTATATTGTGCTTCTGATTAAATAAACTCACAATATAACTTTTCCACAAAATTATTGGCATTCACACTTTGTTTCTGAAAGATTTAAGGTCCGTCTCAAGTTCCATAGGAAATTTTGGACATAAAGATACAGGTTTCAGGAAGACAGGGCCTGTACTCTGTACTTTCCTTAGCATAAAAAATTACATTCTKTGGTGTTTCACTGAGGGAAAGTTAYATTCACTGAATCTGGGAGGGAGTCTGAAAATTTAAATTGTGTTACAACAACAGAAGAATCTGAAAGTGAAATATTAGTAATTATGAAATACTATGAGTATTGGAACAAAAAAATAATTCATTGTTCTTAATAGAAATTAAAAAGTCTTTAGAAAGACGGTGAATTCTTACATTTGTTAATTTTTCCAGGTTGAAGCACGCTGATGTTAAAATACAAGCTAGAATAAACTGGGGTCACTTAAAAAGTTGTATTCACAATTCAAAATTCTTCCWTTTATGTAAATCCTGCCAATGTATTTAAATAAAATCTTTAGTTAAATATTTAGTGAAGATCTGATGGGCATGACTTCCTCATGATCTAACAATATTGTACATTTAATCTATCATTCTTCAAGGTTCTATTATATGATCTTCGGTCCAGTAATCCATTAATAGTCAAAGATCACCACTATGGCCTGCCTATTAAATCAATTCAGTTTCATCATCAGTTGGATTTAATTATCTCTGCAGATTCTCGAATCATAAAAATGTGGAACAAAGATACAGTGAGTAGTTTTATGTTGCTGCATTTAGGTTTTTTAATTTTTACTTTATTTGGGTTGGGGTAGTTTGGTTTATTGTTTTGGGGGTTTTTGGTGCCGCTTGATTAATAAAGCCRAAATTCAGTGTAGGAAGTTGAGGTTTAATATCTCTTCATTTACRTAGCATTTTGTCCTGGCTTACTAAATCAACATCTGGGAAGTTAKTCAGTAGCCTGTCAGATATAAAGATATAGTCTTMRAGGGTTTTTAGCTGTTTATATATGTCTGGCCAAAATGCTTCTTTCAGTGGAAGGATTTAAACATAGAAAGTAGTATCTTAGCCATTTCCTTGGTTTGTRTATTTCTCACAGTGTTCTTGAATTTATCAAATTACATYTTTTCATCTGGGAAAACATGTTTATTCCAATTCCATGCTCAAAGTAGGGTGTAATTTCAAAAGATCATTTAGTTAAGGCCCTATTAAAATCAGGTGCAGCTTATTTCCACAGGAACTCATTTGGATAGTGAAGCAGACACTATGCATAGATACAAATAACAATGTGCCTAACACTGTATTAGTGGAATATGTTGCAATGGGCAAGAAATAACAGTGAAGTGAAATTGAAGTCTCTAATTTTCATAGCACCTTTTTTCATCATATTATGCTGTCCTCTTTCTTATTCTGTCAAGGAAGCTTGCTATGAATCTTTGAAATCTATGGTGTAACAAAATATGCTACCCTATAGATTCATAGTAATACTATTGTAACTCATTTTGGTTTGATGTGCTATCTGTAGTCATTGTGCTCCTTCTGATAAACATGCTCCATCTATGCTTTTCTAACTTTATAGTGAAACATAAAAAGCGTTGTAGTAGAGGCTTTTTTCCTATTTATTTCAGGCAGTCACTTTCAGTATTGTGCTGCTGCATGAACTTTCAACAGCCTCTTTTATTTTTTCTGTGATCACAAGTACTTGTTTGTAGGCTCCTCTGCAGTTAATTTTTATTGTTTGAAAGAGCAAAAAATTATTGGTTATTATTTAAAACATCTACTGTGGTCTCTCCCCACTTTTCCTAGGTATGTATATTTCCCTTCTTGAGAATGAAACACTGTAATGTTTGTCAGGTGGCCTTTGGTGGGAAAAGGGAGGGTTTCTCTTCTCTGGAAGGCAAAGATAGCTTTGGACTCCTTCCTAAAGTATGTTCCAGCTGGCTCCACCTCTCCCAGATGCTGGTTCCTGACTATCTCTGGCTGGGAACCAAGTGCAGAGGCAGACATGGGGTGGAGAGCATGTGGCTTTGATACCAGAATAGCCCCATGCTGAGACGTGCCTTGGGGTGGGGAGCACCMGGCTTTTGTCTGCTGAGGCCGGGGTGGAGGAGGACTCATCTTAATCATCAGGGAGAGACCAGAGGTGGGTGGGGTAACAGCGTGCAACTGGGAGGGAAAGGAAGGGCCCCAGAAAGGTAGGTGGGATTGCTGCAGGGAAAGAAAAAAAGAGGAACAGGATCAAAATTTGCCTTGTTCCTGTCCCTCATTTAGAACTGTGTAGGCATGTAGTCTCATGCTTCAGATTATGTGGTCCAGTTGTTAGAGACTCTTCCTTTACTGGCTGTCTTGTGTGTTGGCTTATAAGAGCACCTGTATTTTGTCTGGGTTTTTCAGACTCTGTTCCAATTCTTACTATTTTGGGAATGTTGTTTCCTGCTTTTGCCTCTTTCTTAAGTAACCTTTATAACTTCAATTCTGATCTGAGCTAGATACCACTGGATGTTCTTACTACTTTTGTTTTATATCAAGACCTCTTTAATAGTTTATAAATCAGAAATAAAGTTTAYGATTTATAAAGCTAAGCTATATTTAATTTCATGTAGACATTAGCAGGCTGGAAGAGCCAAGCTCCAGATTCAAATTCCTCTCCTAATCCATTTTTTCAGCTAATCATACTTTGCAAAGTAGAACTACCACATTCAGAGTTAAATAAAGTGAAGGCTACACTGGTAGTGTGCCAAGAATTTAGAGACCTTRGTCACCCTTTTGCATGAAATGAAATAAAATAAATCTGACATATATTTTCAACACAGCAGAAATGTAAGTTGAGAAATTAGAGGTGCCACTGCACGCTGCTGTGTCTTCAATAACCAGTAGGCTGCACTTTCTTGTAAAAGATTGAATCAGAGATAACACAAGAAACTCASTATTATATTTTATGTTCAGATGTTTAATAACATTTTACTGTTCTGCAAAATCTGTTCCATCTTTATTCCATCATGTTTCTTTGCTTCTCTAGTAGCTATTATTAATGTTTAGATTTACTGAACTTAATTACATTGTTTGGAGTTCTTTATGAATTTATTTTCTCCCTACGATTTCAGGGAAAGATATTTACTTCAATGGAGCCAGAACATGATATAAATGATGTCTGCCTGTATCCAAATTCAGGTATGTTAAATATATTAATGCCTAATGCTAAATTTGAAAGGAAAAGCTTGTTAACCCAAGCTGGGGTCTTCTTTTCTGTTTAGGTGATACAATTTAGGTCTGCTTTTCTCTTYATGACAGAATTAGGAATAAAGGGTTATTTGTTAGTCAGTGCCCTTGTTTCCTCTGCATTTGTAGTACATTGGAGCCTCTTTGCAATTARAAACTTCTGGGCTGTTAATTGAGTGATTGACCTCTTTTAGTCTTTCAAATATCTGAAGTGATTCATTTCATAAGAATAGGAATTTTGTCCTATTGTCTTGACTAAGTCCCAGATGAGTTAGAGCTTGCTTTCTAGAGGTAGGAAAAATCTCTTTGCAGCAACCTTACAGATTTTTTTCAAGTATTTACAAGGACTTGATCTTTCCTTGATTTCAATACAGCTCTTAAGTTGTGCCCTCCCTTAGATTTAATACTTTATTTTTAAGTGTAGATTCTTAAGTGCGCAAATTTGCATGGTTTTTGTGATTGTTTTCAGATATGTTGCATCTCATAATGTTATGTTTAGAGCTCAAAACTGAGGGTCACTTTTAACTTTAAAAGGGTTTCCAGTACTTAATTTATGAGTAAAAGTATTTTACGAAGTGTTGATTGTATGTGTGTATGTGCTTTGATTGTACTTCAGATTGCAACTGGACTTATTGCTTCACCTGAGTTGCTTTAGTTCTTAACTATGGAGTGACAGCCACTTCATTTTTAGAAAGCAGTACTGAAAAAGGTGAAATAAGTTAGGCTGCTAGGTATGGTACAGAGTAAAAGTCTTCAAAAGGACAATGCCTATGTTGCAAACTCTGCTATTATCCTAATTTTAGAGAGGTAGCAGTAATGACAGAGCAACTTGGACTTTGATTCATGCTAGCAGCTCAAATTTAAGATTGTAGATAAGTGAGTTGGAGATTTCTAGCAAGTTAAAACTTACCTTTGTCTTTTCCGCCAACTTCAGTTAAGAATGTGTTGGAGGATTTTCCTTTTCTTTTCTTTTTTTTTTTTTGGTAACATGAGCAATTAAATACTTTTCCCTGATAAGATGGTGGCATTTTTGACTTTATGGAGCAGGGTACATGCTATGTGCCCTGGTTGTACGTAAGAGTTTATGTGGGTATATTTGAGAATTACTGTGTGGTGACAAGGTGGACTGTGCAACATGGAGGTGGTAAACCCTCATCCATGGTGGCTACAGAGGTCATTGGAGTGAAGTATCTTTAGCATTTCACCCAGGTCTCACCTGTGAGCTTTTTGGTTTGATCCAAAAAGAGAGCCCCGCAGCAAATCATGTCCACRCGTGGTCAGTGATGAAGAGCTCACCACAGGGAATGGAGCAGAAAGGTTACTTGACAATGTAGAATTGTAGTGTAATTTAAGTTGGAAGGTACCCTGGGAGTTGTATATTTCCTACTCAAAGCAGGACCAACTTGGAGTTAGATCCAGCTTTGAGGTCTGATCAGGTTACTCAATGCAAGTCTAGTTGGAATTTGTCAAGGATGGGCATTGTCAACTAAGGACGCTCTGTAGCTGCTGTGGTATGTGCACATGCCTCGTGTGCTTTTGCAGGAATGATTTTCATGAGACTGTGCAGGAAGAMTCTTGTAGCACAAAAGAATTGTGTGGTCCAGTTCTGTCCCCCACATCTTCCACTTAAATCAGTTCTGCTTGTGTTACTGTGTGTAGGGGGCCAGGTTGATAGTTTTGGTAAGAACTGTTGTGGAAAGAAAACTAGGTTGTATTTTATGGTTACATTGAGACCGTGGGATAAAAACTAAAAGACATTGCAGTGGAAATTGAGTGATTTAAGGCAAGAGATGGTGCATCACATTTGTCATTAAATACTGTTGCACCAGAATTCAAGATGCCTAGAACTACCTCTTGCTTGTTCAGAATTTAAGGAATAATCATGCCTGAAGATCTGAAAATAAGGAAATACTTTCAGTAAGRTGGGCTTGCAGTTGTGGAAAGTTGGAAATACAGCATTACTTCAGTATCAGTATGGGTTTGGCTCAGTGCTCTTACTGGTGCCCCAATATTCTCAGAGTACCACTGGATGCATGGTGCAGGAAACACAGAAGATCTTTGCTCTTAGCTTGTGTTTTAACAGTTTGTGTSTCACTGCTCTCAGAAAGGCAAAACCTCAATCTCACCCCTACTGGGSAGATATGGATTTGATGGGTGGACTGTTTAGGGGATGAGGAATTGATTGGACACTCTCATCCAGAAGGTGTAGGTCAACAGCTCARTGTCCAAATGGMCATCAGTCACAGGTGGTGTCCCTTAKGGGTCTGTTTTGGGACAAGTGTTATTGAATATCTTCATTAATGGCAGACAGTGGAATTGAGTGTACCCTCAGCAAATTGGCTGATGACACCAAGCTGAAGGATGGGATGCCATCCCAGGGTACTTGGACAAGCTTGAGAATTGAGCCCATGGGAGTCTCATGCAACGACACCAAGTTTAACATTCTCCCCCCTGGGTTGTGGCAAGTTCTGGTACTAATCCAGGCTTGGGGATGGAGGGAATGAGAGCAGCCCTGCTGAGAAGGAACTGAGGGTGCTGGTGGGTGAGAGGCTGGACATGAGCCAGCCATGTGCCYGTGCACCCCAGAAAGCCAAATGTGTCCTGGGCTGCACCCAAAGCMCCGTGGGCAGCAGGGGAGGGAGGGGATTCTGCCCCTCTGCTCTGCTCTGGTGAGACACCACTGCAGGGCTGCATCAGCTCTGGGGTCCCCAGAACAGGAAGGACATGGAACTGTGGGAGCTGGTCCATAGGAGGCCACAAAAAGAGAGGAGAGGACTGCAGCCTCTGTCCTSTGAAGAAGACAGACTGGGAGAGTTGATATTGTTCAGTCTGGAGAAGAGGAGGCTTTGGGGAGACTTTATTTTGGCCATTCAGTATTCAAAAGGGACTTATGAGACAGATGGGGATAAAGTTTTTAGCAGGGCCTGTTACAATAGGACAAGTGTTTTTAAACTGAAAGAGGGCAGATTTWGATTAGATGTAAGGAAGAGATTCTTTATGATGAGGGTRGTGAAACACAGGTTGTCCAGATAGCTATGGATGTCCTATCTCTGGAAATATTGAAGGATGGGGCTCTCAGCAATCTGATCCAKTTGAAGATGTGCCTGCTCAGTGGGGGTTGTCAGACTAGAAGACCTTGAAAGGTCTCTTCCAAACCACACTGTTCTGTGATTCTAAAATTCTATCAGTTATGGTAAACTCTAGATCAGTATACTGTGAACTGGGTTTTTTTTGGTGGTAGTTTTGTCATAGTTAGGCATTTTTAAARAAAACTATTTTACCAGCCACTTTCAGTATTACTACCTTTCCTGGGAAGCAAACGCGTGTATATCTTTGACTAAACTACATGATGACAAACTTCAGTAGCTCTCTTAATAGTTATGAATATCTTCCTCTGATCATACATGAACAGAATGGGGCTAGGGGGAAAAAGATTTACTACTTACGAGTAGGCTTTAGTCAATTTAAGTTGTAGAATATAAATGAAACTKGACAGCATCTTCAGTGTATAGAAGTCTGTGTGTCATTTGTTTCAATTATTGTAAAAAAATTAAAAGTTAAAAATTTGCATTTTCTCAAACTGCTACTCCCACATACCATCACTTCATATTTCATTTTATTCTTTTATATTCATGATACTGTATTGCAGACCATTTTCTAAAGAGGATCTTATTAAAATTTCTGAAAAAATGCTCTCATTTATTTCCCTTCTACAGTAATCAGACTAGGCTGTTATGTAGTTTGTTAGGGTGTTGTCTCTCTTCCCATAAAAATTGGTTGAAGCTAACAAGCTGAAGCAATAAAAACACGTGGAATAGACTTCTCCTTTCACAGAATTAACTTTCTTTCATTCTTCTATTTCCCTTGTGGTGTAGTGTACACTTGTAGTGTACAMCCATGTACTGTTCTGAAGTCTAGTTTTGTCCTCCTTTAATTATTGGTGGAAGACTCTCAAAGAGGACATTTTCCTTTACTGTCATCTTTGAAGCACCTGCAGAATTAATTTCTGTCTTTATTTGTAGTGATTCATATTCAGTCAATGGAAAAATGCTCTGTCTCATGAAACAGTAGTGAGCATGCTGTTAGGGGAGCCTGTCACCTATATACTATACTGGACTGTGTGTTGTGTATTTATGTATATACTATAAATTCGTGCTTTTTCCTTAAATTGCCTGCAAACCTTTTCAGGCACAGTTTTTAGCYTATTTGCTGACTAAGCTTTCATAAATATCTTGCTTTGCTGGAAAAGGAAGCCCCCTTTTTTTCTGACATTTTCAGTCCAGCTGCATTGTGAATTTATAATAAAAGGATTAGGTAGGAAGGATTACTCCACCCAGGTTAATTGCATTCCTCTAGTTGGGTGTAAATTATATTTCTACCCTCTGGGTGTGTAGTAATTGACCCAGTTATTCATAGTCTCAGTGGCATATTATASTTCTTTCAGATCAGAATGTTATCTAATTTGATGGCACTTTACCTCTTCATAATCAATCTCTTGTATCAGCTACATTGATCAATGATCAGCTACCTCATGATCAGCTACATTGGAAAGCCAAAAACTGAGATAAGCATAAAAATATATGCCAGATGTTCTTATTATTCTTTAATGTAGAAGGAAATTGAGAGCGTTTCTCATTTTGAACTTACATGAAGTCTTGTGGTAGTAGGAGATTTACCACAGAATTTAGTATTCCTACTGTATTTTTTTATATTCAGAGTACTTAAGCCCCTTATTCGTGGTGTTTCTTGGGTATTTTCATAGATATTTCAAATTCTACATTTACCCTGGTTAGCTAATAGCACTGGTATTATTCCTTTTGAAACCACAGTATCTTGTATCTCATTTTGGGTTGAGAAGTTGCTGTTGTGTTCATTTCTCAAGATGAAATATGAATGAAGGTATAAACCATGTATGACTTATGGCTTTGTTTAGGCTATAGGTGTGTGTTTAAAATAAAACAAAAGACCACATGTATTAATACCAATATATTAATAATGTAATTTTATGTCCAAGGTAGGTTTAACTTCAGTACTAACTTCARTACTAACTGGATTTGTTCTAAACAGTATTAAGAGTTGAACTGTTTACATTTGTGATGAAAATTGGCAGCTTGCACTTGTCAGAGCTTACCGTTGCTTAAAGTGGTGCTGAACAATTAAGATAGAGGACAAAAAGGAATCAATATATAGGAAATTAAGCTTTGTTAATTATGCTGGTATCACATCTTTCTTTCCATGGTATTTGATGCAACAGTTTATTACAGGTCTTGATTAATGTTACATTGCAAGCCAAAAATACGTACTTCATGAGTTTTTTTAAAAATAGTATTATCTTCTTGMAATCAGTATTTTTAAATGTGGAAATCTCTTTTTAGGAATGCTAATGACTGCCAATGAAGCCCCTAAAATGAATATCTATTATATACCAGTAAGTAATACAAGTTTTTGATGATAYTGCTCTTTAAAGATACACTTGTTTGGTGCCATTCAGATATTTCAGTTGAAATGCATGTCTACATTGTCTGACTTGTCACAATAAAGTAAATGTAGGTGAATCATAATTTATTAATGTAGCATGTTGAATTACTTCAAAAACAGCCTGTAATTTGTCTTTTGCTAGCAGTCTCAAAACTGGTTAGTGGCTGTAGAAAATTCAGGTGGAGCTTTACTGGAAAAAGTACTTTTTTTTGAAAGCTGATCAAAAAGAATTCCTAAATAGGGACTACCTTTTCAAGATAATAACTTTGCTTTGTTGTGAAATATTTCATTACTGTCTTTAGTATGTGGTCTACAGTGACATAGTTATAGCAGTAAATATTCTTCTCTGTTCTGACAAAGAAATTATATTGTATGACTTCACATATGGCTCTTGACTGTAGCTTCTGTTCAATGCCCTTCTTCAATTGCAGCTTTTCACTGAATAAGCTTTCCACTTGAAAGGCTTAACTGCAGGTTTAACTGTATGTTTTACCTCTGCGGATTGGTATTAAGGAGAAGTAGCAGCAAGCCTTCTGGTGTGAGGGAATGGTACAGAAAATTACGCCTTCATTTCACTCTTGGTTTAGTTTCTACAGCAGGTTCTCTAGATTTGTCCTGATAGAAGATAAACTGTAGGATACCTATGTAAGTGTTACATGCAGAATAGCCAACCAGACTGTAAAAATACATACACTTCTTAATTTTATTCACTTTTTGGACAAGCTATAAACTTTATTAATATTGAAATAGATATTTAACTTCTTAAAATCAACCAAAAAGTCTTCATTTAGGTAAATGATTTTAAAATAATTTGATTTTTTTCAGTTCATTTCTGGTCATTCCCCACTGCCATATCCAYTGTGTATGATCTTGATTACATTTAGGCTGGAGATTCATGAGTTTAGATTTCTCTTTGTGGAATAGATAATAAATAACAGGTTGTATTTGTGTGTCTAAACAATTCTGTAGTCCGATATATTACGTACATTATTAGATTTTTGCATTTAAAGAAATGTGAAATTTTGTACATGAGTTATGTCAGGTTGTTCTTCTGATGTGAATTGCCTATTTCTGTAATTCTACTCTAACTAATTTATATTTTGTTAACGGGTGYTCTTCCATGCTTTGGAAGAACAAAGGGGGACAACAAATATTTTTATRTTTATGAAAATATTAGCTGTAGTTAAAAGCTGAACACTTCTTTCCATTTACTTTGTCCTTTATAAGGTTGAGAGAGTAGCTCTCCAAGCATTTTCTATATCTATCATTTTTTAATTAATGGATTAGGGAAGACAAACTCACATATTTTCAAAATCTGATGAGGTTTTAAAACCATAATGGACTAGCTGGTCAATTTAAGTAATCCATATGGAAAAAGCGTTCCTTCTGTCACTAAAGTTAAAGTTCAGCCCCTCTCTGAAARTTGTGCACTGAGTTTATTTTTTATGCAGGTGTGCATGATACATGAACTTGACAGGTATAGTACGTTAGAGGTGCAMATCCAACTTAGCCAAAAAGTTATATCATTGTCTTGATTGCCAGCAGTGATGAATGTACTTAGAACTTGTTCAAGCTGATATTGTTTTGAGTATTGTTGCACATATTGCAAATCAAAATGAAAAATACTTTTTGCTCTCTCAAAAATCTCATTCTCATAGAATCCTCTCTAACTRCTGAGTTTGTGTTTCTTAAGTCAGACAAGTAATTTTTAGTGAAAAATACAAGCACTCTGTATTAGATCTCAGATCATACCTAGAGACAATAYTGCAAATTGCAAATTCTGACTAATACTTTCTAGTATTTTTGCAACCTGCAGGGCTATTCCCATGAATATTAACATAAATCTTGTCCTAAAACATCTTTCTTTGTCACCATCCCCTGGCTTTTGGTACCTGAGTGTGCCTAAACTTGTTTGGATGATACCTTTTTATGGGTTTTACATTCACAGTGACACAACTATACAAATGGACCCAAATGATGGATGTTAAAGCATAAATTCAAATATGAGTTCAATTTTTGAAACATGGTTATATACAACAAAATTTAGAACCTATTTCAAAGGCTAGTGCCCAGACTAAATTTGCGTTTCACGTAAGCTAAATTTCTKCAGTTTGCATCAATGGCTTTGAATTTGAAGGCTGTTGAAGATACCTTAAATATTGTCATGAATTTTTTAGTTGGCATTCTGTAGTTCATTTCAAAAATGTAATACTTATTTTAGRCAATAGAAAAGTTAAATGTGGTGAGAAGAAGTTACTTTGAAATAGAGACAGAAATCTCACACTCTGGTCTGACTTTTTTACCCTGTCTGCCTTTTACAGGTTAAGACTGAAGGGGCTGGCACAGACTGTGTTGTATAATTGAAGGGTGTTTTACTGCATTTCCTAAAAATCAAGTATGTTGCTGACTAAATCTGTTTTTGTTGGCTGTTCTGTGTATTCTTTCAATCTACCTTTTAAATGAAGAAAATATAAAACAGAAGACTTTTATCAGCCTTAAACTGCTCCAAGGCATTTTTTATTAAGGGAAACTTAATGTTTCTAACAYGTTCATGTTACAGTTTTATTTCTTGATTTTCCAGGCTGGTTATTTGAGCTCAGAGTTGCACACCTGTCCTTTGGTTCTCTGTCAGTAAATGATTAATACATTTTTTTTATCCTTGGAAGACTTACTAATTTCCTTGCACAGGCAAAGAAAACTTTAGTTACATTGGTCTTTGGAGCAAAACTTTAAAGAACTGTATTACCTGATSTCTTGTCATGATGTCATTTTCGGTCTTTCTCTAAGAGCTAGTATTCACAGTTTTTATAATGAATAACTTTAATTTTCTATTTGCCTGTTTACTTTAAGGTAGACTTGAATACTACTAAAATGTGTCCTTTGAGGTGTTGACAGGAGCTGAGTTATAAGTCTTGTTGAATTCCTCAACAGAATAAATGCCTGGGGAAATGCTACTAACTGTAAAGTACAGTTATGTAAATAAAATCCATTCAGTTGCCCTTAGCCCTCATTGCCCTGTAGTGCTAGTAATTATTCTCTTGTTTTAAATGTTCATTAGAAAAGCTATAAGGAATTGCCATGGCTATGACCAAGGAGAATACTTAAAATCCCAAATGTATGGTGCAGTGCTCTAAGCAAGGGAAAAAAATCCACAGCAGTGGAGTCTTGCAGAGCAGGAGTGTGTACATGCATGGGTGGGTGCAGACAGAGGCAGCATCCTCTGTCCCTGACTGGAGYTGGCCAGACAGTGCAGGACTGTGCCCAGCCCCGTGTACCCAGCCTCTCAGCAGGTTTTACTGGTGTGGGCACAGTGCTGTGCTAGCACAGCTACACGACTGGGGAACTGGAGCTGGCTCGTGTCTGGCCAGCTTGGAATGTGCTCTGACTGAGCTCTTGTCTGACTGAATTATCTGTGTATGTGTGCCCATTCTCTCCATTGTTAACGCCAAAGCTGAATTTCTATCCCAAACCCCCAAAATTACTGTCTCTTGAACTTCAGGATTATAAAAGATTTGACAACAGATATCATAATATTGCCTGTAAATGAAATGGATCAGCTTTTCCTGCAAATGTTTCAACAGGATAGGTATGACAATTCAGACTAGGAATGTCTGAGAGCACTGTGCATTTCTTAGAAAAAAGTAAAAAAATCAGTGTAGTTTTTTCTTTTGTATGCAAAGTTGTAAGTAGAGGAAATACAAGAGGATTTTTTTGGTTTTATGGAAAGGGCAGGTGGGTTTGCTTTTAAATGGCTAGRTGCCTCATATAGGTACACAGTGCAGGGTGAATAAAAACCAAATTCAATCTGACCATTGAAATTAAATGTTTGTGTTACATAGGTAACAACTTGAATGGCTTAGCTTAGAGACTTKGTTTTCGCTTTATTTTGTTGGGATTTAATGAGGGCAAGTGCCTCTGACTGGAATTGGGCTGTTTGCCACTGGTTTAATAGCTAACTTGGAGTTTATGCAAACATTTGGAGCCTGCTTCTTGCCAGCTGGCTTCCTGGTACATCACTTTGATGTGTGCCTCGGGAAGGATGAAATGAAAGTTGTGTGTGCCTTGGGATAGTTTTTAGAGTACTGACTCAGAAACATAAGTTGAGTCAATAGTGCAACCAGGTCCTGGCCAAAGAAGTAGAGGCAGAAGTTCCACTGACACATGGTGGTCCACTGGCCTGGGATCTAAGATGAGTCAGATTCTCTTTAAGTGTAATTGAGGCTGTCATGTTCCTGTGACATACAATGTTCTCTTTGCAGATTGCACAGAAAACTCCCCACATGTCAGCTCCTGGGTGCTCTGGGTGGAGAGCAAAGAGCATCGCTGTTACTCTGAGTGTTTACTTGTGGTTACATGAACATGTCTTAGCACAGATGTTGCAAATCAGTCCTGTCTCATTTGTTGGACTTGAAACTTTGGGCTACACATATATACTGAAACTGAAACTTGCTCTATTCATTAGGCTGTTAAAAGAAGAGAGYAATTAAGCGTGTAATTAATTGAGTGTAATATTCAGTGTTCTGGATCTTTTTTTTCACTTTTCCCGCAGTCTTGGCAGAACACTCCCTGTTGAGGCTAGAAGCAATGTACTTTTGGTGTAGTGAAGATATTAAGCTCTTTAAGAAAAAAATAATCCTGGAGCATCTCTGGCTTCTTTTCAGGTGGTTTTGGAAAATAATTTTATATTCTAGCACTCTCCTAATTCAGGGCTGTTGGAGTATAAACTGGAAGTGTTTCAAGAGTTAGTATTTCATGCCTACTCAATGATTCAGTTTCTCCAAGAGTATAAGAGTTCTGGTTTATAATACAATACATGCTGGGGACATGTGGCTCTCCTTATTGCTAGAAATTTTATGAATTTTGTCCTCTTAAAATTGGGTGGCTTTTCAGCTAAACCAGCCATTGCTGGTACTTCTTGCTTTTCATACGTTCTTTAACTAATTTTGTTTT